GAATCAGAAATGCCACCCATAGGATCACGTATTTGAACACTTGATCCCTAGATAGTGGCGTTGTGTTGGGAAGTTGTGGAGCCTTTAGGGTATGGGACCTACTTGAAAGAAATTAGTCACTAAAGGTGGACTTTTGAGGATTATACTCACTCCAGGTTCTTGCCCATGCCCTCTATGTCCTGGTTGACTACACTTTCAGCTGTGTGCCCCTGTCACTATGGATGGGGCCACTTCAGCCTCAATGTCTCCCCCACTTCTTCCCTGAACTGTTTAATCAGGGGTTTTCACCAGTCAAGAGGGAGGTAACCAATACAGATATCACAAGCAGAGATGGGGTGGGATGGGCTTGGGGGACTCTGGGTGTGCAGCAGCTGTAAGTAAGCACCACCCTGTCCTCTAGTTTCTCAGTTTCTCTGCCCGTCCCAGCAGCTACCTCTGGCCAGAGAAGTCTAATTGGGTGGTGTTTGATTCTCATGCAATTATTTGTTAAAGTTTCTATGTGTATGTGTGTGAGTGACAGAGGTCTTATATATATATGTATATATATATCTTCTTTGGTCACTTGGCATCTTATTTTTTGAGACAGAGTCTTTCACTGAACCTCACTCACCAGACTGCTTTGTCAGAGAGCTCACCTGTCTCTGTCCCCTATCCTTAAGTGCTGGGCTTATAGATATACATCACCATGCCAGGATTTGTTTCACAAGGGTGCTGGGGATTTGAACTCAGGTCTTGATGTTTGTATGCCAAACACTTTATCAACTGAGCTATCTCTCTAATCCTTACAAAAATTCCTTGAAAGAACAGGAGAAGACACACCTTTGTCTTCTTTGTGTTGTGGTGCTTGTAATGGATGGTGATAGGGGTTGGCAGGTGGTGGTAGTTTTGATGGTGGTAGTTGTGATGATTGTACTTTCAGTAGTTACTGGGATCGTCAAAGAAATGCCCTTCCTTCATCCATACTTCTATTCGTCTTGGGTCTCACTGACCTTCCGTGGGGGCCCATTTGTGTCTTCCAGCCTGGAGTCCTGCACTAGGGAGTGTGCACCATGGTATATTTGGTGCTGGTGAGGTCAGAAGAGAGCACTGGCTCACCTGTAACTGGAGTTATGGTGGTTGCGAGTCACCATGTGTGTGCTGAAAATCAATCCGGGGTCCTCTGCAAGAGCAATGCATATTCTTAAGCGCTGCACAATCTCTCCCGCCCATTTCCTGCTTTTACATAATGCTGGGGAACAATGGGAGCAGGAAGATGTCTGTTCCACTATGTTCATAGCAGCATTATTTGTAATAGCCAGAACTTGGAAGCAACCTAGATGTCCCTCAACCGAAGAGTGGATAGAGAAAATGTGGTACATTTACACTCTCATTACAGGAATCTTATCCCAAGTGGGCAATGTGTTTATGAACTGAAGGCATGCTCACTGGCATCTCTCATTCTCACCTCATAGATATTCTCAAGTAAAGGTGGAGCCCATGCCAGAAGGAGGCAATGGGCTGTGCTGAAGGCTCCTGAGGTATCAGTCACTCTGAAATCAGCTTCATTCAGTACTGTTTACTTCTGGTTATGGTGCAAGTTAGATGTGTCACATGAACAATACCCAGCAGTGGTTTTGAGGAAAGTGCTATGGGAGTAAGACAAAGTGTGGTCAAATGTGCTTGAGGAGAAATAGGGCACTGTAAGTAGGTGCAGGGGTTTGTATGAAAAGCAGGGACTTCTAGGGACAAGAGGAGCTTTTGTTGGGCACAGGTAATTTTAGTATTTTTCTTTGAGTCAGGGTTTGTTCATGGTATCTAGACTCATCTCAAATGACTGGGCTCAATCACTCCTACTGTCTCAATCTCCTAAGTGGCTGAGACTTCAGGCACACATCACTTCTCCAGGCTAGGGCATTTCAACAGGACCAGGGGCTTGTAGAGAAAGACAGGCCTCACAGGGAGGCGTAAGATACCAGAGAGAAGCAAGGCTTTAAAGGAGTGGATCTTGTGAAAAGCAGCACTCCTGGAAAGCAGAACTTGTAGAAAGCATGGAGTCTGTAGCAAGTGAGAGCTTGCTAGGAGGAACCAAGGCTTTTTAGGGAGCAGGCATGGTTTGGAGAAATGAGCAGAGCTTTAAGGATGGGCCTAGGCCGTGCTAGTGAACAGGATGATCCAGACCAAGAGTGTGATCAGAGCTTCCTAGGAGAACCCAGGTCACACAGGAGGCATGGGACTTTGTAGGCTATGTGCAAAGTCAGCTGGGGACTAGGAGAAAGAGATACAAGGAGGACTGGAGCTTTTTGGAGTATTGAAGCTTTGAAAAAGGAACAGCAGCTTCATTAGGGGAGCGGGGATCTGTGGGTGGACACAGTATAACCTTATAATGGATGGTCTTATAAAATACAATCTAAAACTCCAGGAAACCCCACAGGTGAGGCCGGCTTGCAGCCTGGGCACCTGTTGGAACCCCTCGGGGATAGACTTATCACAATCACAACAGCATACATGATTAAATGCACATGCTTTTACTTCCTGGCTTTTCTTTCATCTTTTCTATTGTAACATTACTGCAGGAAACACAAATAAGAAAGTTTCTCTTCCCAGTTCTGGCTTCCAAATCATGAACAAGCTCACCTCCACTTACCATTGTCTCCTGGTTTTCTCCTGAAGAGGCAGCAGTGGACTTCAGGTCCCAGTACTTTAAGCTCGGCCAGGAGCAGGGCTTCTCAGGAGGGACAGTGTGAGGAGCAGGGCTTAGTATGAGGATTGGGCTTGGTGTGGAGGAGCTACTTCCAGAGGAGTATGGCTTCCTGAAAGCAAAGACGGGGTGGGGGATGGAGGCAGCAGGGACTCCACTCCTCCAGGAGCAGGGTTGCCAGTGACAGCGTTTCCTGGGTGGCACAGGGCTTCCTAAGGAGGACAGAGTTCAGAGAGAAAAGCAGGGCTTTGTAGGGGGGCTATGCTGTTTTGTGAGCAGACAGGGCATGGGAAAGAAAAGCCTGTCTTGTAGGGCACGGGTTTGCGGGAGCAGCAGGTTGTTCCACAGGGGTGTGGGTTAAGAGGGCTGCCATCTCCAAGGAGGGACTGGCTTTGCAGAAGCAGGGTACTGAGGATGCAGGCTTTGAGGGAAGGCTGGGGCTTGTTAAGGAGGATAGGGGATTCACAAGGTGAGCAGGTAAGGAGTGGGCTTCTGTCAGAGGGGGCACGACTCCAAGGGAAGCTTGTGGCTTTAGGAGGAGCAAGGTCAAATGAGTATCCCCAGGCTTTGAGGGTTAACTGGAGCAGCGAGAGGTGCTGTACTGGCTAGGACTTGGAGGTACAGGGTACTGACTGAAAGCAGCTTTAGAGGGTGAGGACCCAGGAGTGGGGAGCTTAAATGAGCAGGGTTGTATAGGAGCAACGGGTTCATAAGGAGACCTTGAGGTTGGAAAATAAAAGACTTTTAAGAGGAGGAACCCTGAGTTGCCTGTAAAAGCAGCGTCTTCTAGAAAGAGTGGGTCTTCCCAATGAAGGTAGTTTGAAAGAACAGGATAGTTTGTGCCATAGCCTACTTAGCCTTGTTGGGCATGATTCTCCATCTGGTCTCAAGGATAGCTATTCTGGCACCAAACTCCACAGCAGGAGTTTGAATGCTAAGGACCCTTTGACCTGGCTTCCAGAAAAATATCACCTGTAAATCCCAGATACATAAGAAGCGAACTCCCCAGGTCCAGGTCCAGCCCAAGCAGAAGCCCCTCCATATCCTTCTACACTAGAGATAATAGCTAAGCCAGTGTTGACAAAAACACTTTGAAGTCCCAGGCAAACTGTGACCCTGCTTCCTCAGATGCAAATGCAGAAAGTGAATATCGGTTTATGCTAAATGTGTTTTCCTGCTTGGGGCATGGCTTTACCAGATCTTCCCAGCAGGCTAACTTTTGGTCGATGACATGCAAGAAGGGTGAAGTGTGACATAGTTTGTGTACTCCCTCCCTGTGCAGGATCCTTCTTGTTCTTTTCCATCCTGAGCATTCATGGTGAAAAATGGAGATAAGAGGCAAGAGGTTGAATCCAGTCACATGGCACCTTACTAAGGGTCTGGGCTGTATTGTTACCTTCACAATTCACTAAAGTATCACTGGAGCATAGGGAAGAGTCTTCCCTCCTTTCTGACCTAGAGGTCTTTCTTTAGCCTGACTAGAATCTCTGAAGCAAGCAGCATGCAGGGTACAATGAGATGCAGCTAAAAGTTGACCTCAAAGCCTCTGGAGCCAGATGGCATAGGCCTAAATCTTCTTGCTACTTGAACTCTGGCAAGTGAGCACAAGTCCCATGTGCCCAAGTTTCTTTCCTTGTATAGTCAGGCTTCTGACACAACTTATCTTAGAGGGCTGCTATCAGAGCTAAATGATCTAATACACCTAAGAGACTTTAGAGCATCTTAATGTCCATTGTCATTGCTGTCATCCTTATTGTATATTTTTGTAAACCTTGCTTTGTCACCAGACATGTAAGGGTTGAAACTGGGTATAAACCCTAAATACAAGTCAAGCCTGTGTCATTAGCTATAACACTCAGCCCATTAAGCATTGCTTTTAAGGCCTTAAAAAAACAAAACAAAACAAAAACCAAACAACCCCACCTCTAATAACCAAGCATCCGTTCAACCATTCAACCAACGAACCAACCAACCCAACCAACCCAACCAACCAACCAACCAACCAACCAACCAAATAGTCCTGGAACTCTCAAAGCCAAGTTCTCTAACTGGTAGAGGAAACAGTCTCAGATGTCTTGAGACTTTTTGATCTATAATTACTTTTTCTAAAAACTCCCTGGGTTTGAATAATTTGGTTTTTGTGTGTGTAGACACCAGAAGTATTAGTTAAGGGGCAGACACATCTTTGGAAAAGTTCCTTAATACTTATTTATAATTTTAAGTACTCAATAAATCTCAATAAAATTTGCTATGGAAACTACTTAAAGGAACTTTTTTTTTCACAGTCTATACCAAGTAACACTAAACAGGCAAACAATAAATATGCAATCAAAAATTTAATAACAAAGATACTATTTTCAACATGGTCAAATATACATGGCTAAGCCCCGAATTAAAAAGGAAACATATTATCCAGCTCAACAGTACAGTCATACAGTTTTGTACAGAACATTCCATAGATCAACAGAAAATACATGAGCACAAAAATAAAAAATATTTAAAGACAATCTCTAAGCAGCATTTCTTTCTGCAAAACAGACATAGACCTTGTACTGATTAAATATCTACAAGTGCTTTTTCCTTTACAAAAATACATAGATTCTTAATAGATTACGTCATTAACAATGACCTGGTAATTCTTTCACTTCAATTTGAATGATTCATAAGCTAAATCTTACAACCACAAAAAGGTTTTTATTTGTATTAAGATGTTACCACTTTTGACAAAAAGCTTAAAATATTTCCTATTTCAAAATAAAATTAGCAACATAACTTTACAATATATTCTGTGCTAGATTTACTGTGAGGGCTAGTCTAAAAAATGATCGCTGTTCAGTTACCAGACACAGCCAAGTGAAGGAACACATACCCCTCCCCCCCGACGCTCTTGTCCTGGACCACAGCTTCATAAGGACACTTAGGCCCCCACGCTCATTCTGAAAACGACTGCAAAAGAAAACTGGCTGTCAACAGTGCCAGGGTGACCTCCAAACATGCACATGTGTAGAAAGAGTCACTTCTGGTACCCTGTCAATACACTAGACTGTGTAGAAGAGATGCCCCCAGAATGTTAGTCTTCATTTGTGCTACAAGACCGAAGAAAACTAGGCCTCATATTTAACATATCTGTTACATCTGATTCTAGACTCAAAGACAATTAAGATGAAAACACATTTCTGGAAAGCCTCCATTTTGAATCATGGGAAAGTGGCCTGAGGACAGACACATCGGCAGGAGAATTTAAAGCCATTATTTTGAAAAGTTTAATTCTTACCATTTTCTGAAGGTCCAAACATTTTAATTCTATTAGAAAATATGATGGTGCAAACTATTTGTGAAAATCATATTCCAGGAAGAGAAGCACATTCAAATGACCAGAGAAATACTACAGCTTAACACAATGAAAGCCCCTACAAAGGACATCTGATGTCTTTTATTTTAATCTCATGTTTTTGATCAAAACACACTGAACAAAGTCTATCAAGTAAATCCAAACAAGTGGTGATTCCAAAGGCTTCTAAGTCTTTAGTGAATCTGACACTGTCCAACTTCTCATGAAGCAGATCAGGCAGACATGCTATGTCCCGTACTGATTACATACATTCAGGAATTACATGCTAAAAACAATGCTAACAGCATTTCAAGTTTTTATGATTCTAATCCAAAAAAAGAGTTTTGGCAAATTCATACCGATATTTTGATATAAAGCATAGATTTCTAGACAATTCCTTATCCAATCAGAGGAATGGATGAGGGATCCGGCTCAGTTGCACAGTGCTTGTAAACTACACAGGACTATGGGCCATTTCATCCGCTCTGCGGATGGTTTACTTCAGGCTGATTTTACCCAGGAGGTGGTACAGGGAAACAGTGGTGCAGCAGGACATTTTTCAGTGCCCTATTTTGTCAAAATTTGGCCACATGGTTAAGCTGAACAACAATAAAGTGGCTACTGAGAAACAGAGTCACTTTTAAAGAAAAAAACAATCACAGGTCTTTATGGAATTTTGCTTTTAAAAATAGCAAAAGCATTTCTGTAAATCCAGTAGAATGTGCTGTGTCATACACAGGCAGGCCTGCCAGCACTTTTACTGAAGCCCATCTTCAATGAAACTTTTTCTACTTTTACTTTTACTAAGAACCCAGGAGCTAACAGGCACACCTTCCTTCATACCATCTCCACGAAATAAAAAGTTTCTTAAAATGTAAAATCTTGATTTTCTTTTAAAAAGAAGTTTGTATTTCTCCAATTTTTTTTACGGGTAGGATATTTGTTTTTACTTCTTTCTCATACTTGAGGATTTTCTAAGCTCTACCAGATGGTGCTGAAAAAAAAAGTGAACATATTTGAAGGGAAATACGCTGACTGTAGCAAAAAAGACATCCGACTCATCCCACCAACAAATCTCACTGCAGTGACTTCACTGGCAATGTTTTAATAAGCAATAAAGGTTGCAACCAATTTATAGTCACACCATAATCTAACAGTCTCCACCTTCTGAACTGCCCAAACTGTCTCTAACATGGTTATTAACAATATATTGTCTTTGGTGATACCTCTATTCTTACAACTCCTTTAAAAGACTACTGTAGTTTATTAACTGCCCATTTAGAAATGAAACCACTTATAAGACAGGTACAGATAACTGGAGACTTACTCAGGAAACCTAAAACAGAAATGCACTTTAGCAATGAGGCACTTTCTTTTAAATAGTAAAGCTTAACAGTTCACGATATTATATAACACACTGGTTTTCTTAAGGATTCATTCAAACGAATATTAGTGGTCACTATGTACAATGTGACAGATGAGTATGAGGCAGAAGCTTAGCAAGTAAAGAGTATTTAAAAGTTGTCAAAGAACATTATCCTAGTCACCCAAACCTCAGACTTAATATAATCTCCCAAATGAGTCTTTTAGTTTATTTTTTAAGCTTGAGAAAAGGACACTTTCATCTCTATTAACTGATGTGATCACTGCAATTTAAAGTGATTCTTACAGACCACAGGCATTCTTTATTTTTCAAGATTCCTTGCCCCTTTATGTCTGATTTCTAAGGCAGGTAAAACAGGTAACAAAATCTTTTCTGGAGTAAAGTTCCTTAGTTTATTGCTTAAGGAGCAACAGGTTGAAGAATAACGTTCATTTGTTCTTGACTGTATGAACTCAGAGAGTTATTCCTGAAGATTATTTAAACAGAGGGCTTTGTTAAGCAACCCTGTTCATGTAAAGCTGGCCACGAACAGTGCCTACTCATGTTTCCTACAATCGGTTCCTTACAAGGGCAACTAAGTGGGAATTTGGTACACATCACACATCAGACAAGAAAGTGGTCCACACCTGGCTGATATAACAGAGGAGGCTGGCTGAAAAAGCCTGATTCCACTAGCAACCCATTACTCATGTTCCCAAAGGACATCAGCCATTCTTAATGGTATGTTTTGGCACATAGTATATTGCATGTCAGTGAAAATGTTAATGCATAACAGTAAATAAAGGACTTTTTATAAAACTGCTTTGTTTCAAAACCATTTCCTATGTATCCCTCAGAAAACAGTCGTAACATATGATCAGGCAATAAGCAAAATTTAAAGAGACCTTGTACATAAAATTCACCTATGGCTCCTAGTCTTGGTTGGGAAGCCCAATAGCCAAGTCTTAGTGTGTGGCTTTTGGAATTGATTTTTGACTTTTTAATTAAAATTAACCTTCATATTTAAAATACACTTATCTAAATGTGACAAATCGTAGTATCTTTAAATTTTTCTTAGGGATAACTAGTAACTAGGTTTTACAAAACATCAAAATAATATCTGTAGTTAGTAAACTTAGTTTTTGGTCAAGTATAATGCTAAACTTCTAAGTAAATCAACAGCCTTATAAATCCTGCTCATGAGTTCTTCCAGGAACAGCCAATCAAATAAGGTAAGTTAAAGAATTGCTGTGGCCTTCTAATACAGCAAAGTTTAACACACTTTTTACTTGAAAACTACTCACAAACTTTCAGCTGTTTATATGATGAATTACACTGGGACTGAGCTGCACTTGGTCTATTTCTTAGAGCTGTATAAATTTTTATCGCTATAAGCTCTCTGGACTTCAGGAAGCATTAGTCCGTGAAGCATTCTACTGGAAAACGTAGAATACCTGTGTTCACAGTCTAAAAACCATGTGTGAAACACACTTGGTATTCTTACCAGATTTCTAAAACAAGTCATTTTTCCTAATTTCCCCCACCTCTCAGAAGTTAACTTGTTTGTTTCAAAGCAACCAATAGATGTAATCCACAGTTTTATTTTTGAGCTATCTATTTTACAAGACCCAAGATGTTTTTCATGTAATAAGCTAACAGAGGACCCTGATTTACAGGCTAATTTCAAAATGAACGGAAGACTTAACCAAACTGTTAACATGAAGGACATCTCTCTTCTGATACACTCACCTTTAAAGAACTCCCAGTTAAAACAATAATCACACTTCCCTGTTTACCACAGTATCTAAAATAAAATATCCCCAAACCACTAATTTTGGTTAGAACATTTAACTACTACATGGCATTTCTTTTGTTTTGTGCGTATGGTTTGGAAATGTGATATGCAACTAACAATCTGGATCAATGACTTGAGATTTTGGAAGTCCATGAATGAGCAAATATTATCTAAAATCTTACTATTTAAAACCATCATACCTAATCCTCTACATGCCACAACATATTGCTAAGGCCAACCTAAAAGAAACAGTGCTTTCATAAAATGGCATTAACAGTGCCATGATGCACATACAACATGGGCTAGACAATGGAGATTTGTGAAGCAGCACCCACTTGCCCTAAGACAGTAACTAACGGTAACATACTCCCACATTAATTTTATTAGAAGTTGGTGTGATCAGCTGCCAACATTATGAACTTCAGTTGTTCAAGTCATATATTTTTTCAATGTGAAGGGCTAACATGCCTTCCTGTGCAATGGTAGAGACTACCCAGACGTTCAGGATATCTCCAATTGTAATGTGCTCTGGTCAAAAGATAACTGGAATTCTTCACAAAAGGACTTGCACACTCAAGAATGAGCTGGCATATTGGTTTTTTGGTTTTTTTTTTGGCTGTTTATTCTTTTTTACATAAAAGTTTACCAAGAATAGGACAGTGGCTCAGAAACCACTTTTCTAAATATACTCTTATACAAAATAATTTCAAGATATAATTATACTAGGTTCTTGTACAGTACTCTATTTCAACAAGAATAAAAGTATTAAGTATGTGAAAACTGCAACACCACAAGGATTGAGCCATTTTACTAGTGTAATTAACATTATAACAATCTTGCAACAGGCAAGCAAAATATCGAGAAAGCAGAGTCACGGCTGCACACCTAAATGATTTTAGCCGTGCTCTGCACACTGGGAGACGAAACGAGTATCTTATGGAGATGGTCAGTAGCAGAAGGGCACTTGGATTGCTCCTAATAGAAACAACATGAAGAAAACTGACAATTTAGAGACAGACAATGGCCTTATGTGCATGCTGAAAATCAGACTGTGTCTCTCAAGTCCACACCGTGCAATCTGCCGACGAGTAAACAAATAGTGCAGGATTCGTTCAGTGCAGTCTGGGCCCCTTGGCCTATCCAAAATCAATTCTTGGTCGATACTGCAACACCATGGGGTATGACTACAAAAGAGAAAAGTACGAGTAAGACCATATTTACGTAAAAGCAATAGTTTACACAGAAAAGCTTTGAAGAATTGGGGATTATAATTTATATTTCCTGATAATAGTGATTTCAAAAGTTAAAATTTAAGTTGTCATTTAAGATTCTAGTTACTATTAGTACTTATCCCTCTCCTCCCCTCTACAGAGGGCTCGTGGAGGACCACAAGCTGCATCCCACCAGCAACTCTGTGGGCTGAGCATTTCAGCCTGGATTCTCCCAGGGCTGCTGCTGGTGAAAACTCACCGAATCACACAAGAGTAAGAGACACTATTCTGCAAATGGGTGAAACTGGAATTTCCACAATACTGTTCTTACATTTGATATCCCTTCCTTAAGTATTTTTAATTAATTTTTATTTAAATTAAAAATCTTATTTTACATACCAATCCCAGTTCCCTCTCCTGCCTCCCATGTCCCCCACCATCAGCTCCCCATCCCACTCCTCAGGGAGGGTGAGGCCTCCCGTGGGGGATCATCGAAGTCTGTCATATCATTTGGGGCAGGACCTAGACCCTTCCCCATGTATCTACACTGAGTATCCCTCCATTGGGAATGGGCTCCCAAAGCCCATTTGTGCACTAGGGATAAATATTGGCTCCACTGCCAGTGGCCCCATAGACTGTCCAAGGCTCCCAACTGACACCCATGTTCAGGGGGCTTGGTTCGGTCTCATGCAGGTTCCCCAGCTCTCAGTCTGGAGTCTGTGATCTCCCGCTTGGTCAGGTCAGCTGTTTCTGTGGGTTTCCACAGCAAAATTGACCCCTTTGTTCATCACTCCTCCCTCTCTACAACCGGATTCCAGGAGTTTTGCTCAATGCTTAGCTGTGAATCTCTGTTTCTGCTTCCATCAGCTACTGGATGAAGGCTCTATGATGGCATTCAAGGTAGTCATCAATCTCATTATAGGGGAAGGGCACTTAAAGTAGCCTCTCCACTGCTGCTCAGTTCTTCGTTGGGGTCATCCTTATGGATTCCTGGAAATTTCCCTAGTGCCAGGTTTCTTGTTAAGCGCATAACGGCTCCCTCTATTACAGTATCTCTTTCCTTGCTCTTTCTCTGTCCTTCCCCCTCACAGGCAAATGGATGGAACTAGAAGAAACCATCTTGAGTGAGGTAACCCAGACACAGAAAGGAAAACAGAGTATATACTCACTCATAAGTGGGTATTAGACATAGAGCAAAGGATAACCAGTCAACAAACCACAAGCCCAGAGAAGTCAGAAAACAAGGAGGATCCTAAGAGAGACATACATGGACACCTGAGAAGGGGAAAGAGACAAGATCTCCTCAGTAAATTGGGAGCATGGGAGAGGGGAGGAGGAAGGGAGGTAGGAAGGAGGGCAGAAGGGGAGGAGGAAGGAGAACATGAGGGATCAGGAAGGTGGAGTTGGGGGAAGAACTAAGAAGGAGAGTAAGAAAAGAGATACCTTTAGTATTTAAGATTTATTTTAAATGGTCTTCAGAAGTATTGAAAACATGTTCCTAACTGTTACAAATAATGGTGACAGTCTCCTTTTAGTATGATTTAGCGTTCACAGCTACTGCATGGCGTAAGTAAAGTAAAAGCTTTTACTGTCTTTGGTGTTGTTCTTTGTGGAAAGTCTCTGGCAGCCAGGTGTCTGCCACACACAGTTCTAGAGAGGAAGGGGCCTCCTGCAGATGGGGGCAGAGGCCACACTCCCTCTCCATCTGCTTCACCTTCACCCACCAAATCATCAGAAGCAGTCGAAGAATCAATGATTTTCCTCTTCTAAAAGCTGCAGGTTCCCACTTTCTAAGTGAGACTCAATGCGCTAACTACCAGAGAATCAAGAAAAGGCTGAGATGGTCACTACCCAATGTTCTGCTATCTCAGGGTAGGTGGGTGCAAAGCCTTCGGTACAGAGAACACTGTATTCTTTAATATAGAAAAGAGGCAGATGGATTCCACAATCCTGAGATGCTCTCTCAGCGCTTTTCATGCATGTCACACACTGAGACTCGATGCTAGTATGTCCTAACTGCAGCCAGAACAGGATATGGAGAGCGGGGAAGATGCCATAGGCCTTGTTCTCAGCTGAAGGATAAAGCAGGTGCTACTTCTAATCTAATGGGCTAGCACAGAAGTCTCTGACTTGCAAGGTTCCAATTGTCTTAGCCTTATTCTGCTTTTAAATTTTGTTTACTTGTACTCTCAAGTATTACTCCAGTCTTACAGAACCAGTTTACAACTAGATTAGTTGAGCACAAAGGTCTCTATTTCTGAAGCCACGTCAGATTTTTGATGCCATTGACACAGCCACCTTACCTGATTTTACTAAACCTGGTTCTATTTCTCTTCAACCCCTAATTTAACCCTTTATTACAGTCTTTTGAACTTTACTTTTGATTCCCGACTGAAGAATCCGCATATTCCTGCAATTAAATTACCCATTTTAGAATACATCATTATATATACAAGAGCAGCAATGATCCTACTGACAGTGAAAGACAGACAGGGAAGTAGAGGGCTTGGTGTCAATGGCTGAAGTTTTCTGTTTGGGCCAAGATTTTTTTTTTTGCCCTCTCACCCCCCCAACATTTGTGTTTGTTCTGAGAACACATGAAGTTTAATAATTTTACTGAAATGTGCAAATTCTTGACACATTCTTTCCCCTCTTAATTAGGTAATTTAACAAGCGTAAAATATTATTTTACTTTATTTTCTGACTTGTAAAAAGTTAATTACATGTGTATTTTATTTGTCAATTATATTTCCTTTCTGTAGCTTGTCCAATCATGGCAAGTTAAGCTTTTTCTTACAGATATATAGTAGTTATGTTTAATGGCATTAAACCATTTACTGTCAGATACTGCAAAAATTATGAGATTTCTGCCTTGTACTTTTCAATATTAATAGTTAAGTCACGATTTGTATCCTTTAATTTTCAAAGGTACAGTGTGAAAGATTGTCTCTGCTATAAAAATCACTTCCCCAATTGTATTTTCTTCTTCACCATTTATATTACCATTTTTAACAGTTATTGCTTTGATCCCTCAGGAGTGTGTTCCTGTATTAACCTGAGGTTTGGGTTGAAGTACCTTGCTGTGGTCTTAGGACAATTAATGAAAAAAGTTCCAGATCTGCAATCAACCTCCAACACTGCATCTTTGACTGTACTATTTCCAACCACACCCTCCGTACTGTCTGCTCCAGTGCTACTGGCTTCCCTGTAGATCCTGAATGGCGAGACACACCTGTTTCTCAAGGTCACTATGCTGTGTTCTCTTGACTTTAGTGTTCTCCATTATATATTCACGTGGCTACGTCTTCCTCACAATCCAAACCTACCACAATGAATTTTTTCTTTGGTTATCTTATATATAAAATATATTCTTGTGTGTGTATATGCTCATATAGTTGTACATGTGCCTGCCTCTCTCCCTCCTTCCCTCTCTCCATATGTATATTTGTAGAAGCTAAAAGTAATCATGGGTATGGCTTCTCTGGGACTGTCCATCTTATTTTTTGAGGCAGGGACTCTCATTCACCTGAAGCTAGCCAATTAGGTAAGGCTTGCTGGCTAGTGAGCCACAGCAATTCACCTGTTCCTGCCTCCAGAGTGCTGGGATTAAATGTACACCTGCCCAGTTTTATATGGGTTCTGGGGTTGAATACAGGTCCTCACACCTGCAAAACAAGCAGGTTACCAATGAAGACAACTGCCCAGCCCTCTAAGCTGTATTTATTTAAAGTTCCCTTAGGACACTAAAATTTCCCTGTTTTGTCTATCTGTTCTATGAGAGAAAAGCTGTGTTTGATATTTACTCCTATAGCCCCAGGGCTGAAGAAAGCCCACGCATACTTACAATGCTCAACAGCTATATGTTAAGGAGCCTTTCTGTCTCAGTCCTTGGAACCACTGCACTGGGTGACTCCTGTCCTAGAGCTTATTTTGGAGCACTGTCTCCGCATCCATGTGTAGGTCACCTGATCTAGCTTTATAGTGCACTGTTGCACACAGGCAGCAGTGACCACGATCATGTCCCATTCATTGCTTACCTGAAATGTGACTGACCAGAAATACCTAATTCCTAGTTCACATTAGTTTAACTAACTTTGCTCATTTAAATAAGAGCTTGGAAAGTATGCAGAGTTACATTTAACTTCATTACTTAACTTTGTGCAAAATCTGACATCTAAGATGCTATTTAGAGTCTTTGTGTGTGAAACAGAATTCTGGATATGCATGAGTAGGTCTTTGTTTTAAGGAAATATATAAGGATTGCAAAATTTTGTGATCATCTGTTCTTATATTTGGCTTATTTTTAACAGCTCTATTTAAAAAAAAACTAGGATGCAAACAAGGAGACAAAGAGGAGACAGAAAATGTGAAATATTAATTGATGCTCCCTTTAGGAAAGGATTTTGGTGAAATTTAATCTTTTTACAAGATTGTTATCCACCATGAAGTGTTGCAGAAAAAAAGGAAGTGAGTGTGTGGGTACAGATTTGTCTCATCCCAATGTTCTTCAAGACTTAGCATCAGAGCTAAAGAGCAACTTCATCTCTCAGGAAACAGACACCAACATAAAAAGAAAAGGTGGCAGTCTCTGATCATGGTTATAGGTATTATGATTTATCACACAACCACTTGGATTTTCCAGATTTCACTACAGCAACTGAACTGCTTTACGCACTCAGCCCTCTCCCTCTTCTGAACAATGAGAGGACAGCTTCCTTCCTGGGTGGCTTTCAGCCTGCCTGTCTAGATGGTAAGTTAGGTTACTCCATTTCTAAAGAACTAGAACTTAAACAATGTATATCAAAAAGCTCATAGTTGAGATTCCCATATCAGAGCACTAACAAAAGCCTGGGTGAAACTTTTGATTAGTGATTTTTACAAGTATTCTTTTGAAACACAATGTAAACTAATTTGTTTAAAATATGTTTTTATTAGGCAAGTTTTCCTTAGACACAAGTTTAAGTTCCTTGTGTGTTATGAGTGACCTCACGCTCTTTCTTTTGTGGTAACCCAGAGCAGCAGTTAGGGCTGGCCCCAGCAACTAGGTCATAGTTAGTTAGCCCTAGCTCCTATTTAGTCACTCAGTCTGACATTTCGTCTCAATATAGGACAGATTAGAGACTTTTCAAGGGCTGAAATAAATATTATTAAAAATTCTTGATTCATAAGTAATAGTTATCACACAATTTCATTTTAAGTTCACTAAAATGACAGGAAACTTGTTATTTAAGTTTGAAAAAACTTGGATTTGGTTTCACAAAGTGACATGTCTGAGAACTTGAGCTTGGGACGGGAGTGGTAAGCATGGCACTGGATGGTCACATGTACTGTCATGAGTGCCTCTTACCTGATACAAAGTGCCATCCTGACAGCAGACTTGCGAGGCTGAGCAGTTCAGACAGCAAAACTGCGGAGGAGATGAACTCATCAGATAAGAGGCATCCACAACGGGGCACATGTAAAACGTGCTATTTAAAGTAGTTTAATGTCAAACGTAAGTACCAACATGAGAAATTTAGATAGACACTGAGGTATGGTGTGGGGTTTTTGGGGGGTAAATATCTAACAACTTGGTGATTGGTAAATTTTTGCGTTAAGTAATTTTAGCATTTATCTATGAAGGTTTTTGTTGGTTTGTTTGTTTTTAATATTCTGCACCTACCAAGATGGTACCCTACCCTTTTCATTTCATTTCCAAATGTTAGTTTCTGGGGAATCCTTATCTCCTAGTATAGAGTACCACCATCTTTCTCCTCTTAGTGGAGTGGGTTACCACCTTTCTTCCACATGTTCCTCAGATTAATCTCTCCTATGCTTCCTCTGCAGCTACTCTGAGAGCAACATTATTTAAGATCAGAACTCTGAAGGGACACAGAACTCCATTCAACCTCAGAGGGACTGCTTCCTATTGCCCTTTTCCTTTCATGTCGCTCAGGTTAGAATCAACCCCCATGCCTATTTTAACTGCATTGGTGAGCGCCTGAAGTCTGATACTCATGTTTGCAGTCCTAATAGTTATGCTGTTAAGTTATACACATATTTAACTTTATACTCTTCCAAGTGGAAAAATAAAATGTATAAATAGCTGAAAAATTAAACAGAAAAATGTAAGTTTAAATTAATCAGGAAAAATTTAACTTCTCAAAGAAGACTTTTATTTTTTCCAGAGCTGAGGACTGAACCTGGGGCCTTGAGCTTGTCAAAGAAGACTTTTAAAGACTATACTTTACAAGATTTTAGATGTCACCAAGTTCTTTCTGGAAGTTGGTCTTTATTTTGCACAGTGATCACCATCACGCTCTACAGATAGTCTGCACTTCAGTCCTTTAATGACTTGGATGGGTCCGCAAGCTCTAACCTACCACATTTTGTCTGACTGCAAGTTGCAAAAATCATTCAGTAAGAATACAGAGTTAAGATATAAATAAGTGATTTTATCATTTTTTTTCTATTAATCTCTTTGGTATCAGTTACATGTTTTTTCTTCCCCTAAAACTGCCAGAGATTGAGATTGTAAATCAAGCAAGGAAGACAGGATGGTTGCTGGATTGACTGAGGCTGCAGAAGAGGGGGAAACTGCAAGGAGCATCTTGGGAAAAGCAGCTGGACTGAGGGAATGCAACCTACTCACAAGACAGTGAGCAGGAAGAACATGGGTCTGATGGGGGGGTGTCCTTTTGTATGCTGTGAATATATGTTTCTCTTATTGGTTGATAAACACAAAAGCTCTTTTGGCCAATGGATAGGCAGGATATAGCCAGGCAGGATGTATAGACAGGGCTACCAGGCTAGGAGAATTCTGAGAAGAGGAACACAGAGAAAGAGTTCTTAGAGAGACATCATGTAGTTATTGGGAAGATAGGACACCTGGAATTCTCTGGTAAGCCATGACCACATGGAGATACATCGAGTAATAGAAATGTTTTAACAATTAAGAGAAAGCTAGCCAGTAAGAAGCCTGAGCTACAGGTCAAACAGTTTATAGTTAATATAAGCCTCTGTGTGTTTATTTGGGACTAAATGGCTGCGGGACCAGAAACTCTGTCAACAGTCTGTGATGGAAGGGGGGGAGTAGAGACATGCTGACAGTAACTCACACAGTGGAGGAAGAGTGGATGAGGATCATAATGCAGCTTAACAGAGACACTGTTAGTTTTCTACATTTGTTATATTAGGCATTCTGCTAAATACTTTAGTGCATAATACTAATTCTTGCTAAATGTTCCTCATGCAAGTACTGTCACAATTTTAAGAATCCCAAAAACTGAAGAAAAATTGGGATAAAAAGAAGCTATCAGCATATACAGCAAAAAGTTGTGTTCAGAACATACAAGCAGTTCCTAGAAGACAACAAGATGACAAACTCATGATTAAAAGGGCGATGAACATGGATACTCACAAAGATGTTACATTACTAATATGAGTGTCAAGAAGTCAGAAAATGGGCCCTCTTGTATATTACCGTTATGACTATAACTTGTGAAACAGTTCACTGTAAACCTCGCAATGTAGGCAATGGATATACTTGTTCATTTGCAAAAATACATGACTTGGACTATATACAGCACTGCTTGTAATGTTAAAATGAAAATAAAACCCCAATGATCACCAAAATAGGTAATTAAATTATGCTAGTCACACAAATTGAATTGTACCAATATATTAAAAAGTAACTTGAAAATGTAATTTTTCCTTAAGACATATCAAATGAGGATAAAGTTGCTAGCAATATGTATGATTTCATTTATGTATCAGAAAACTGAGAAGCACTGGCACAGGCATTATGTAGAGAAATACTAGATGAATGGTAACATCAGGTGGTTGCTAACCCCGACTGAAACATTAATCTCTAATTCCACACGCTCAATTTGTAGAAGCCACAGAAGAAACCTGGTCACAGATCATGTCTCCCAAACTTTGCTCTAAAGATCAGAAATGTTCATACATTGAGTAGAGCTTTCTAGAAATGAGTCTCAGGCCTGTCCCAAGCCTACTGAGTAGAACTTTACTTTGTCATCATTCCTATGTCATTTGTATTTGCACTAAGATTTAAGTAGACTTATCCTACTAGTCAACAACAGATCAACTCCAACATTCAGCATAATAATCGTCAAGCAATGATACTGTTATGAATTATAAAATTTAAAGCAGCTGTTTGACCACATGTTTATAGGGAAAAGATATTTTAAAATAATCTACCATGACAGAGAAAAGGTCTAGAGGGGTCATCTTTTCTACAAGAGACTAAGTTTGATGGGGACCTAAGCTGGGAAAGGGGGAGCACAACCACAGAAGCTGGCGCTCCCCTACTGCAGAACTGGAAGGGAAACTCCCGTCCTTGACACTTGTCCTGGGAGGACAGAAATAGGAGGAGGCAGGGTGGATGCCACTATGGAGTACCTGGGGCTAATGACTCAGATGGAGACGAGTGTGACAGGAACGGAAGCCACACACTGAGTCACTGAGTGTAGAATCACAAGCAGACATTCCACAACAATGACAAGAATGAAAAACTGAAAAGATGCTAAACACAGCTAAAGTAACCCAGAAACACAGCCCAGTGCCAATCACAAACCCATTCAAAAGCTCATCTGAGAGAATAGGTAAAACAATGCAACATGATTTTAAAAACTGAATTTTTGTCTCAATAGCTACAAATATATATCATAAAGCTATATAGAAAGCACAACTATTTGCCGTATATAGGACATGTTAGGGCTTCAAAGAAAACAGGCAATTGAAAGGTTTAGACAGGAGTTTTATAAAAGCTGCCTTAGGCTCAGTGCTGGTTCAGAGTCATACCTGTGTTTGTTTGTTTGTTTGTTTTAGGAATGTCCAGAGCATACACAGACGTGTGTGTGCACTCATGCACAGATAACAGCAGCATCTTCAAACAACTTTGTTGTGTGTAAATGAATCAATCTTAAGTGAACTAGAGTGCTTACTATAACAAAGTCCTAGAAGCAAGTAAGAAATGTAACAGTAACTACCAGAGCAGGAACAAGCTGATGTTGCCCAGGGCCATGCTAGTCAACTGGCAGACATCCTAGTCTCCTGCTGGTAAGGATGGGGTGGCCAATCTCAGAACTACAGACCAGGCATACTAGCAAAAACCAGGCTTAGAGAAGAACAAGCCATCTCTCCAGGACCAATTTAAAAAACTTTAATAAAAGTATATTGAACTAAAAAGCTGAAACCTCAGAAATGTGTGATCAGAAATGTAATTACACCGAGACTGATTTAGCTGGCAATCTGTTAATAAAGAGCTTACATGAGTTAACCCTTTCATGCTCTGACATTAAAATAACTGGCAATGCTCACTGACTTTAACAACCCAGGCTTCTAATGAGTGGAGGTAGCAGAGTATCAGTCTGAGGCCAGCCTGTGCTACAGTGAGTTCCAGGACAGCTTGGGCTAAATACACATTCAAACACACACCATGGGCAACTTTCAGGAAAGCACTTGTGACAGACAGGTGAAGTTTAGGAGAGGTGACCTTTGACCTGTAGGTTGGTCTATTACAATGATGAGTTCCAGCACTCGCATGCTGAAATACCCACTGAACTAGCAAAGAAAGACAAAATTACATTTACTGCAGTACTATTACTGTAGAGTTAGAGTATTTGCTTCTAACAGTGCAGACTTACCCTCTGCAGTGAGCACCTGGCACCTGAAACACTTCAGGATTAAGGACCACATGGAAGCAATGCACTTGCAACCCTTGAAGTCCACATACAAGGCAGATTTTATTATGCAATACAACTATATTAAAAAGATGAATCCTAAAGTAGTCTGATGAGTTAACTCTTCAAGGACACACAACTAGCAAGTGACTGACACTAGAATGCAAGTTTCTCTTCCCGGTCTTGAGATATTTTTTGCTGGTGACTAGAGTACTGAGCCTCACCGTGATTTTTATCCATGTGAAAGTCAGATGAGAAAACAACAAAAATCCTGATTTAAGAACTTAGGTGTTTCAGTATTATCGTATCACCCATTTTCTTCTGAAAAAGCAAACAAATATCTTAACCACTATATAGCACAAGGATTTTTAAGGGGTTCTAACATCTCAACAGATGTCACTTAAATGTGATAGCAGCATACCTGTGAACTACTGAAACATGGCAACCACTATTATGTGTAGATACTACATTATCTATATTGTGTGAGGTAACAACTAAACTTTCTGCCGTATTTCATAATTAACATTTTCATAAAGAAATGTAGTAAAACCTGGTAGAGACATTATAATGCATGACATAATGTACTATAAACTGCATCATCAGACTCTTGATGTCTTATGGGTAAGCTTGGGTACTAACTGTTGCAGCTTTCAAATCAATCTTAAGGACATTATGTATTGAGAGCATCAGAGGAATCTGGCAGCTTTACAATAGTGTTCCTTATCCCCTGACGGGTTTGTAATACAGTACACAGAGTTGAGTGTCTCCAGCTTCCCTAACATTCCTAGCTCAGGTGCACTCGAAGACTTGACCTAAGCAAAAATCTTCACACACACACACACACACACACACACACACACACACACACACACACACACACACACACACACACACACACATTTTTTGGGGGGAAGGGGTTGATCTTAGGTTTTCTCCTATGAACAATTTCTCCCTCATCACTAGGGTCCAAGGCACAATAATGTACTCCTGGCATCAGAAACCTGCACTAATTCACTTGTCTATCCTTAAGGCTGACCTTACACTTCTAGTGATTATCTAATCCTACCAATCTGTTCTATCCATCAGAGCCCCAACAATTCCCCTTTCCAACTGTTAGTGCTCTCAGGGCAGAATGGAGTCTATCTGACCCCACTTCACACACTCACATTTCTAGGAGACACCAAGATTTCAAAAGCATACACTGCCTCTGCTCTCAGGCTAGCAAAATCCTAGATGTATTTGTTGCTGGACTTAAAAACTCACCTTCAAAATATTTAACACAGACAGTGATCTTGTACTTGGGCCAATTTTTAGGTGCCGGAGAATAAAGAACCAGTTTCTTTCTCTTTCCCAAACTAATTTCTTAAAGTTCCTAAATAATAATGTTAAATTATATAACTAAGTATACACATAGGTAAATATAAAAGCAATTTACATTTTCTCCTCTTAGTCGCCATCTGGTCATATAGATGAATTCCATAGTATGATCCTTCCCCATAATTTCACCATTGCACAGCACATCCAACTTTAAAAAGAATAATGGAAATATATCAGTCCAAAGAATATTTTAATTTATACATTTTCAAATTGTAAAAGATCCAACTAGTTATACCAACATAAAAGTACTAGTTTCAAAAGAACACTCAATTTTTATTCTCACAGAATGTCAATAGTTCAGATGTAACATGAAACAGCATTTATCTTGTGCCATAAAACCATATCGCTTCGAGGCCAGCCTGGTCTATAAGAGCTAGTTCCAGGACAGCCTTCAAAGTCATAGAGAAACCTTGCCTCGAAAAACCAAAAAAAAAAAAAAAACCAAACCCAAAACAAAACAAACCAAAACAAAACCAAAAACAAAAAAGCAAACCATTCGCAAGTTGATACACAGTTTATAAATGCAATACCAACCATCTCGAGTCATGTTTCTGCAATCCTCCGGGTTTTATCTGTAAACCTGGGACCACTCTTACTGAATGAGAAAAGTGTAGCACGTGTCATAGTGTGGAAAGTGTAGAAGGATAGCAAGCTCATTCTAAATCCACCACTGAGAATCCTCTGGAGTTCCCAGGATGGAAAGCAGTTTTACCTCTCCTTAGTCTGGGATCAGAGACAGGACATTACCATGGTGGCACACATCTGTGTTCAGGGTTTTCTGGCTCTGGTATACCTGTGGGTCCTCTTCTCACCTCGTATGAAACATCAAAGTGAACTGTACTTACAAGCTCCCCCACACCTTGTCTGAGGCTATAGGAAAACACCCCTAAAAGCTTCGAAAGAGCACAAGAACTTTGCGTGTGGTTCATTAATTCAACAAAGAATATATAATGAATGTTTACCAAAGATCCCTTTGAACGAGATGTCTGTTCTCTAGTTTCTAGTGAAAGAAACAGGTTATGATTTTATTTCAGATGTGGAGGGGGGGGAAATGAGTTTTAAATAAATGTCTATCTACACAAAGACTGCAATTTTGAGCTTGAAGTCTAACACAAAATACAGTCCCAATTACAATTACATTAGATATATGAACTAAATAATTTACATTTTAATGATTTGTGGTGATATATAAACTTTGGAATTTTTCACTTATGAACTCTTTTTTTTTCTTGGTTTTTACAAGACAGGGTTTCTCTGTATTGTTTCGGAGGCTATCGGTCCAGCCCGGCCTCGAACTCACAGAGATCTGCCTGCTTCTGCCTCCCGAGTGCTGGGATTAAAGGCGTGTGCCACCACCGCCCGGCCACTTATGAACTCTTAAGAGAACAATGTAGACACCTCTTTTCTTGCCTGTAAAACAAATCCCTAAGCAAAGATATAAAGGTGCAATTACTAATCAGGCGGGCTGCACCCAGTCATTAGCAATTTGACGTACCCTGTCCCAATTAGTAATGCTGCCATGGAAGATTAAGACATTTCATTAAATCAAAGCCCTATATGCAGGGCAGCAAAATAATGGGGGACCGGTCTATATCTTAAAGAAAGCAAAGGACAAGTTCTTTGATTGGGATAGATAAGTTGCTATCTTTTATGTTTACCAATGATTTATTCTTATTTTATGTGCATTGGTGTTTTACCTGCATGTATGTCTGTTGAGCGTGTCAAATCACTTGGAGCTGGATTATAGACAGTTGTGAGCTGCCATGTGGGTGCTGGGAATTGAACCTGGGTCCTCTGGAAGAGCAGCCAGTGCTCTTAACGGTTGAATAATCTCTCTAGCTCCATATAGGGAAGTTTTTAAAACCACACAATCAAACTAATAAAAAAATTTAACCCAGACTAGTCATCAGTCATGTGAGATATTTCCATTAGGTTCAAGGTCAGAAGTTTCCTCAGATACACGCCTTCCTTTCAAGGTCTGTGCTTAAATCCCATGACACTTCAGTGTTCCTTTAATAAAGGACTTACAGTCTCAGGAAATGTCACACATCTCAACAGTGTGCCTTTCCTTTGGCTGCTGTTCAGCTCACCACGGACGACAGGGAACCTGTTCACTATGTGAGATCTGTGCTTTGTCCTCCTCCCAAGGCTCCGGGGACATCACGGAAAAAGAGACAGGATGCAGAGATGGGACATGACTGCACTAGCTATGGACTTCCTGCAGCTATGTTACTCACTCAAGACCTGCACAGCTGGGCAGAGCATCATTTCATCAGAGATGGAAGAGGACATCATGAGGCCCATCCTACACTGAGTAACTATTGGCAATCAATGGTTGCCTAGGGAAGGGCTCGTTTTCTTTGGTGTAAGTTGTCCTTGTTCCAGTAATAATCTCTTACTCAGGCTCAGGCAAAAAACTCTTAGTAAACTCAATGAACCACAAATAAAAAGAAGGCACAAAAAAAGTAGGAGTAGAATGTACTGAAAAGGTTTCCAACCAGAGGAGGAGGGGATGACAGACGGGAGCGGGTAGGAAAGCAAGTCAGAGCCACTATATAAATGCATAAAGCTGTTAAGCAGTAAAACCAAAAAATCTAAAAAGTGATACATCTTAAAGCATGTTAACATTATAAAAAAGAAAACATTTAGCTATGAAATTTGTTTTGGGAGTATTTTATATAAGTTTTACAATATCTTCTTTAGCTGCAAATGCATTGATGTGATTTGCTTGGGATATATTGTTATAAAATATTACATAAATATTATATTCTAAAAATTATTTTTATATGGTATACATAATGAAAATAACCAGTTCCTACAAAAATTTGGATATATCCTTATTTTACTTCTTTTCCTACAGATCAGAATCATCAAAACAGTCACAATTAGATATTATTTTACTTACCTCATAAGAACTTGGAAGTTTTAGTTTTAAACTTAGAAACTTTTTAATAGTTCCTACAGTAACTCGTGTAGAACACCGAATGAATTTCTTCATGAGACCCTAAAGGAAACAATGACAAACTGAACACTCTAATTTGTTTTTACTAAAACCCTAGGCAATCTTGGACATACCCTTAGACAGTCACTCGTAATTCCAGCACTCAGAGGTTAAGGCGGGATTTGAGTTTACTTCCACCTGGCTGCAAGGCGAGACTGTCTCATAAGACCATCCCAAACCAAACTGTTCCACGCCAAAACCAAAGGCATGATTTTCACTATATGCTTTGAGTATTCTCAAAATGTAAAACAAAAAAACAAGCCAGGAGGTGGTGGCGCACACCTTTAATCCCAGAATTTGGGGAGGCAGAGGCAGGCGGATTTCTGTGAGTTAGAGACCAGCCTGGTCTACAAGAGCTAGTTAAAGGACAGCCTCCAAAGCCACAGAGAAACACTTCCTTGAAAAAACAAAAACAAAAACTTTTAAGTAAAATGTTCCTAAACATTACCTATTTACATGACATTCCTTAACAATGTATTAGTGTGTGAATTAACAAAATAATTTTTAAATAAAGAAAATAGTTTAAGAAAAAGGCCACAAAATGTCAACATTTTATTAAATGATGTGACTTTTACAAGCGGTAGGGACACTTGTTTAGCATAGTGCAGAACCTGGAAATAGCTGCAGAGAGCAGCACTTTCATCTACGCCTTGGAAGAAGCTCTGGACAGAGCAGAAAGCGCTGCTGTACACAGCACGCCTCAGCACCTGCCAGCTGTGCAGTGTGGGCTCTGGGCTGAGGAAGAGCATTCCCCAGGGAGGGGCTGCTGCATGTCACTATACATCACTAAGGTCTGTGTGCCTTCATGTGTTTCTTGTTTTACACGGAGACAGTGGCTCTGACTCACTCTTTAAGCTTGAGCAGAGGGAGGCCCCGCCCTCCAACTGCTCCTCACAGCAGCTGCCTATAAGTCACTAATAATTCAGATATGTCAGAGCAGTTAAAGGAATATTTTTAAGACAAGGTAAAAGAATGTTTCTATAATTCATAATTCAAAAAGTCTGACACAAATGTAATAAAATTTCAATCTGGAGTATGTGAAAGTTGACTTGGAAATACTTAGAAAATAAGCAATAAGCACTTTCTCTAGAAATACTTTATAATGAAACCAAACTAAACGTGCCCTGCTTCCTGATTTTGTGCACCTGAGAACTACCTTACAGACGTCTAGAAAGTGCTGACACCGTAAGAGGCAATGACGGACAGGTGCTGGGCAGAAGTCAGGATGGCATACAGGAGCTAGGAGCGGGGCTTCTTCTCACCATCTCCTTCCGGGAATATGGAGAATGGGAGCACTGTGCTACACCCCAGGGTTCACAGGAGCCTGCAGAGGGTGGGGGAGGAGGTCCATGTCTAACCCTACCCCGCTCAGCTGTCTAGAAAGGATCAGTGTCTTTGGAACATCTGCATATCTGAAGTAATACTACATGGAAGAAGACTGTTTTGTTTCAAGACTATCATCTTCCCTCCCCATGGCACCAACACCCTTACTCTATCCTGTTGTTCATCTCAAGCCAGAAAGTGCAAAATTCAGAAACGTCCCTTCCTTCTAAGCTGTTTTCTGAGGCCACAGTGTGAGCCAGCGTCTGTAGTGTCCCAACTCAAGCTACTTCAGGGCAGAAGTGGCTCAGCAGCTGTCAGAGGCTGATAAAACACGGCTCCTGTCTAACTTTGCTTCGGAAGAGTTAAAAGACTAAACACAAAATCTGCAGCAGTCCCTCCTGTGGGCCCTGAGGGGTCTGCAGTTCTATGATACGACTCAACAATTCTTCAGTTTTGTGGAGCTTTATAAAAACAAAAGTTAGCTTTTTAAGCCCAAATTCTTTATAATGTCTTCTTCTTACTTCTTTAGTATTATGATTTACATCTCTACCAAGCAAACTAATTAACAAGTGTGACTTTAACTTAAATTGAAATATAACACCACAAAGTCATTATTTAAAATGAACAATTTAGTAGTTTTTCTAGTTGTTCAACCATTGCAATTTCGAATTCAGATTCTTCCTTGTCCTCCAGAGAAACCCTTTACATATATGCAGCTTGCAGTTGCTTCCTAGTCCTGCTCCCACCCCACCTGGCACCTCCTTGTCTGTCTCACGCGACAGGCCTTTCTTTTTAAACCACTTTTATCATTATCACATCGGTGACTAAATACTCATTTGCTTACTGTGCTTCACTATATTCTTTCCTGCAAGATGCTGATAAACTGAAAATCTAAGTTAAAAATGACTTGATTTTAATTTCCCAATACAAAATGTCATTATTAGTAATACAATAGTAAATAAGTTCATCTGAAAGATCTACTGATTTACAGAGATGAAGCAAAACAAAATTATAAACAGAAAACATGAACTGATGCATAAAACAAAAAGCAGAGAAAAACCCTCAGTGACTGGTATGTGTTTGCAACAGTGAATTTTAATATCCTTTAGGAGGCAGTTGAATGATCAGACACAGGGAAACATGATGAGAAATTCTTCAAGGAGTTTATCAGTCCATAGGGACTTTATAACACAACTTTACTTCAAAAACCTACAATTGCATTAATAAAATATATTGGCCATGCCATTGGAGGTTTACAGAATTTCAAATAAAAGTAGAAGACTGAAGAATGTAATTCAGGGCTCAGCAGTAAGAGCACTGACTGCTCTTCCAGAGGCCCCAGGTTCCATTCCCAGCACCCACATGGCAGCTCACAACATGCAACTCCAGGGGACAACTCTGATAGCTTTTGCTGGCACCAGGCCCGCACATGATGTGCAGGCACACACAGAGGCAAAGCATATACAAATATAAAATAAAACTAAATTTATAAAAGAATATAAGGAAAATTAATAAAAAGGTTGGAGGTACTGCTTGAATCAAATAACCAGTCCTGAGTTGGCTCTTGCATTTTAAAAATTAGCCACTAGATGGTGGCATTGGCCCGGGATGGTTGGGGGTGGGATGCAAGGGGCCTGGAAAGAAGGTCTGGGTCATCCCAGTGTGGCACTGCAGAGAATGGCATTCACGTGCATTGCATTAACATAAAACCTTGAAAGACATCCTTCTGAGGAGATGGAAAATTAACAGTGAAATCTGTCCACTCACCTTTACTACATTGTCCCCCGACTGACCATTATTTCGTAAACAATCTAGACAGATAGCAATTTGTGGGTCACTTCTATGGTAGTCCTTATCATCTTGGTTTTCATCACCTTCTTCATCTGCTTTAGATTTGTCAACCTTTGAAATGTCATCTGTATAGTTGAAGCAAAGCCCATGTAACCCAACGTTGAAGTCAACCACCAATATGGTACTCATGAAAGGAACAAACATCCTAAAGTATTCCCTAACTGGTCTGAAGAAATGTTAATTGAAAATGTTAGTACTTTTTAAGATCTTCTAACATACTTAACAATGGAATATTCAAAGGCCATCAGAAACTTTACAGTGTAAGATTTCTAGGTATACTGGAAAAATCCAAATCAAAGATTCTGGACTAACTGTATTTGGTCATAAAAGATTGAAATTAGTGATTAGACCACTTTAGAAGGCAAATAAGATAACAAATATTTCCAAATTCAGTAACAGATGTGCTCAAATTAAAAGTCAAGTGATAACTTTCAAATTATATTCTCTCTAAATTCTTCAAATTACAAATTATTTATAAAATCAGCTATAGAAAAAATAAGAATTAGATTTTAAAAACATGCTTTGTAGCCACTTAGCATGTAAAAATTTACTAAGAAAATATGAATACTATACATAATATAAAATTTATTTAAAATGTTACATGGATGCAACTGCATTTATTGATGCGTTTATGGAATGCTCTGAACAGTGTTTCAGACACACGTTGTGCCAGGCCTGAGGTACCAATAATACCATTAAAGGGCATGATGTCTGAACAGGAAATAACTTCATAGGTTCATGTGCTGAGTGGTGGTGCTGTCGGGGAGGCTATGGAATCTTTAGGCGGGGGGCCTCGGGAGAAAAGAGTGGGTCTTGAGGTTTTACTGCTCAGCTCTAGTCCCTCCTTTGTGACAATGGCTTTAATGTGACTCCAGCTCTTGCTCTCATGCCTTCCTTGCTACAATGTACTTAACTCTCAGTCACAGACTAACCATCCTTCTTTTCTTCATCTTTCCCGGTCCCCTCCTGGTTGCTTCTTGTCAAGTATGTCACAGAAATAAGGAAGTAACAATACCAGGAGTTACCATCTTCAGCAGGTACAGGAAAAGGGGAAAAAAGGCAAATATAGGATGGGGAAGTAAATGAAATATGTGACCATGTAAGATTCAGGAAACTTTTTCAGATGAATTATATCTACCATAGCTAAATATGAAATATCAGCTAGTTCTACCAATGAGAGAACAGTCTTTGTTTAATATAGTGAAAGTCTTACACTGTACCTTATGAAAATGGGAAGATAGCTCTTTCTTGTTCCCATCCATATTTACACAGAACCCATGTACATGCACAGACATTGTCTTTCATGAACCAAACACCTAGGTCAACAAAACTCCCCCCGCCCCCCCATTAAAGACCAAATCCAAAAATATTTTGAAAAGGAGAAAATGGGAAAAGGGAGATAAAAATCACGAATCAGGATATAAAAATAGTCTATTTTGTGTACGACCCTCATATACAAAAGAAATCCTAGCTTAACCCTATTCTATAATTCTGACAGCAATTCCATGTGTTTCTGTGTTAGTAAAATCTGGGATACTTAATTGACTTTGTATGACCTGCTTTCTTTAACATCAAGCTGTCAAGCACATTGTACACAGGCAAAGCAAGCTTTTGGGTAAGCCATCTCAGCATCTTCAGTTTGTTGTTAGGTAGAAAAACAGCCTCTTGCTACCTTATTCCACTCATCAAAACTATTATCAAGGCTCCCCTGCTGAGGGATTAGTTCTATAGGCGAGTAAACTATTAAAGCCATTATCCCCATTATAAATGAGAAAAAGTGAGCCATCATTTCCTTGTCCATCTGAAATGGCACTGACTTTATGAAACTTGATGAGAATTCAATGGCTTTATGAGAAAATCAGGGCCAGGACTACGTTCACAAATGCACAGAGACTTCTTTGATGGTATTTAGGACATCCAAAATGAAGTCTGGAGTTTAAAAACATGAATTACATTACTTTATAACTTAGATATTCCTTTGTATGGATAATATACATACAAACAGCTCATTTTCAGTAAAGTAATATCTGTGCTGTAGAATATTATTTGAAGATGTGTTATATTTGTTTATGCTGTGGAACATTTGTTTAATGATGCAAAGATGGGTTGCATTCATTTTTGTTGCATTTGTTTAACTCTGCAAAGCTCTGCTCCTTTGCCTGTCTAAAAAAACCTGACTGGTCAATAGTGAGGCAGGAGAAAGGATGGGTGGGGCTGGCAGGCAGAGAGCATAAGCAGGAGAAAAAGATCAAAGAGGAAGAGGGAACAAGAAAAGGAGGAGGACATCAGGGGTCATCCACCCAGCTACACAGCAAGTCACAGGGGAATAAGTAACGAAAGGTACACAGAAATAGAGAAAGACAAAATCCCAGAGGTAAAAGGTAGACAGGATAGTTTAAGTTAAGAAAGGTGGCAAGAAACAAGCCAAACCAAGTCTGGGCATTTATAAGAAAGAATAAGCCTCCATGTGATTTGTTTGGGAGCTGGGTTGTGGGCTCCCTAAAGAGTAAAGAGTTGAAAAACTTTCAGCTATAATTTGCCACTTTGTTGAAATTATTGTTGTTACTGTGTGTAAATGTGTGAATGAGTGTGTGTGTGTGTGTGTGTGTGTGTGTGTGTGTGATGCACATGTGTTCAGAGGGCAAGACTCAATCTTGGATGCTCTTTCTCAGTGCTATCCACCTTGCTTTTTTGAGATGGGGTGGCTCACTGGCCTTGAACTCACTGACTAGGCTGGACTGGCTGGCTGACAAGCCTCGGAGACTGGCCTAGCTCTGCCTTCCCTGTGCTGACTTTTAAACATTGTGTGGACAGATCTCCAAGTCAGTTCTCTCTTGTCACATTGAGGGACCGAACTTAGTTATGTCTGTCCAAGTTTCTCCAGGCCCTGCTCAAACGGTTAATTATTACCTGGGTCCTAGAGAAGAAAGCTGGACACTTGGTCTGGTGATGGGCACACCCTGAGGAGCACACGAACACCTGCTGACAGACCCTAGGCCTGAACCATGAGCATTCCACCTGTGCTCCTTACAGAGCATCAAAGCACAGCAAATCCCAACTTGGCTCTTGGGCACATTTCATTTCTGTCTCCTAATAAAGTACTTTTATAAGTGAAGTAAAATTAAAATGCCCTCACATTTGAGGTGCACACTAAGATTATTTCTTCTATCATATTCTTCTGTCCTGAAACTACTGGTATTATCACCTATTCAGTTCTCTTTCACTTTTCTTTTTCCTCCTGAAGTCCAATTTCCACTCTCCAATTGCCTTCACCTGGAGTCATGCAGATCTTCACCGATTGAGATAATATCTCATGAAGAGCTGCATAAGTCTTGCACAGGACAACCATGAGTGTAGAAAGACATTACTCCACCAGCTTAACAACGAGAGGGTCAGAAACACACATAAAGAGTTACCTTGTCCATTTTCTTGAGGTTTATTTTTCTTCCAAAATTCCAATTCACGCTGAAGTTCTTCTAATTTGAAGGAAAAAAAAGAGAAAAGCATAGGATGATGAAATCTTTAATAGAAATACTGATCTCACAAAACACAAAAGGTCTGTAGAACCCAAAGGGCAACTTACGTTCTCGTAGTCCAGGTACCAGCTTAAATATAATCTCCTCCAGTGTATTATCCAGCCTTCAGGAAGGGTTGGGAGGATAAACAATGAAGATATCAAAATCCAGTATGTAAACAGTTGGGTTTCTTACCGTACTATGAAATACAGACTGCAGGTGACTTTTTTGTTAGACAACCTTTTGCATATGAAGGGTTGCCTTCATAAGGAGCATGCCCACTTCTAATAGTAGTCCCAAAGCCCCCAGCCTTTTCTACGTGGACACACTCTGAACATGCCTTTGCTGTTCTTCGCTTGATCAAGAGGTAGAGCCCAGATGTCTGATATTCACAATCCCAAGAATGGGGACTACACTGGAAAACCGCTTAGACCAAAAAGAATGTGGGGACAAGTAATGCTTGGACCTTGCCTAGGTCTTAAGAGGACCTGAATTTCTGCTGCATATTCAGTAACACTGCCGAGAGCACTGTACTAGCAGTCCACCCCAATACATGGCAGAACATCAGTTTAGAGGTGGTTTGTCATACAGCAATAGCTGACGTTCCCACTCTTCAAATCACTACAGCACTGGCTCTTCTCTAAATATGAATGTGCTCCATTTCATCTTCTGAAGAATGTAGACAGGGTGACTATTCTAGCTCCCCAGATACAAATGTATTTATCTCAGCATCTTTCTAGCTTTCTTTTCCTGATAATACATAACCCTTCTTCTTCCCGGCTCCACTCCAGCCCATTCTGCTGCTTCTGCAACACCTGCCCTTACTTCATTTTATCCTGCTAAACAGCATTACTCTTCTCTGACATCAAACATCTAAAGAAACAAAATCATTTCCTTAAGTGTTTGTTAAAGCTATTTCTGTAGTAGGAGAGATGGCCCAGCAGTGAAGAGCACTTGATGCTCTTGCAGTGGACTGGAGGTCAGTTCCCGGCACCCACCCTGGATGGCTCACAACTGTCCTATCTCTAGCTCCAGATCTAACACCTTCTTCTGGACTCTGCACATCTGCTGTAGACACAGCACACACAGAGACAGAGGGGCAGAGACAGACATGCAGGCAGACAGACACACACACACTTATTTTTAAATCTTTCAACCTGGAAAAATTTGAAGAGTACAGTCTGTTATTTCTGTTACATACTCTTAGTTTCTGCTTTTACCTTCCTGAACTCCCTGTCATCGATTCCTATGACCAGTATAGTGTCACAGCAATCTGGACTCACACAAACTCCATAAAATTCCCTTTCCCAGTTTTAATTTTTTCCCGTCTGTTCTATGTGCCTAAATATTTTTCTGTTAGGGAGCAGGTTCCAGGACTCTTCACGGACACCAAATCTGGATGGTCAAGTCCTTCATATAAAACACTGTAGGATGTCATATCTAATCCACATCTTTCTACAGCTTCAAACCAGTTTTAGTCTGCATATAGTAATACAATGTGAACGCACTAGTTAATTTTTTGTTTGGGGATAATGACAATTGAATGCAATTCTTCTTACAAATGTATCTGATGGGAGGCAGGCCAAACCCCACTGGAGACAGAACCCAGGGCTGAATATTCTGTGTTGCTCTCTGTATGTCACATACCTTCTTTCTTTCAGTTTTTTTCCATGGGCCATGTTTCCAGGTCCTCATCTATTTTTGTAGTTTGAAACTAACATGTGGACAGTTGTTTGTCTCATACCTTAGGTCTAGTCTGTATTTCTAACAGATGCTGAACAATTAATTCGGCCACCTCCTTTTACCCACTTATGTCAAGACGGTCTCATGAAACCCCTCCAGAGCAACACAGAACATCCCTTAGCTACCTAACTTTCTTAAAGTTTTAAATAATATTATAACACTCCTAAATAGGCTCAAAGTGAAAGGACTGGCTTTGTTCTTTCTTCTACTTGGTCCACACACTTTTCTCTCAGCTACTTCTTTGTCTCCCACAAATCCTTTCTTAGCCACCTCACCTCATCCTTCCATTCTTAGGTACCATCACCTGTCAGTCTCTTTTCCCCAGCATGCATTTCTTCCCTACTATTGCCTTCCTGATGATTTTATTACCAATACATTTATCCAATCTAGTTCATCTGCTTCTGAAAATAACTCAACTGAAGTCACTCTGAAAAACCCAAGAGAATGTTGTCATTTTAACTGCAGATATATTTCCTAAATATTACATAATCTTATTTCAAACTTTTATTAAAAGATTTAAAAATGAAGTAAAATGCATTAAAAACTGTAGAAGCCTGACTTATGTTTAAATAGCATAATAAATGATAAAGATTACAAATATATACAATTAAAATCAGACAAATTATAAAATATGTAAAACTTTACCTCAACATTTCTAATGGATTTGTTTCATGAACTTGGTTGCCACACCTTGGACAATCATTGCTGTCTTCAAAGTGCTGGACAATACAGGTCTTACAGACTAAGAAGAGACAAGACAGTAGGTTAAAATTAAACTCTACAAACTGTGTTGATATTTTGTTTATGATATAACAAATAAAGTTTGCCTGAAGATCAGAGTGCAAAGCTAGCCACGCAAGCTATCCAGAGGCCAAGCAGTGGTGGTGCACACCTTTAATCCTAGCACTTAGAAGACAGAGGCAGACAGATACCTGTGAGTTCAAGGCCACCCTGAACTACACAAAACACATTAGTCTAAAAGAGAAACAGAGCTCACACAAAGATGGTCTCAGCACTTGGGATCCCATGCCTTTAATCCCAGCTCTAAAGAGGAATATAAGGCATGAAAAGACAGGAGCTCAAGGGGTCTGAGGAGCCGTATACTCTGGAGATGTAATCTGAGGACAGGACCGCCCCTTCGGCCTGAGCATTGGTAGAGGTGAGAACTCTCTAGTGGCCGGCTGTTTTGCTTCTCTGATCTTCAGCTTTAACCCCAATATCTGTCTCTGAGTTTTTATTATTCATGCTATAACAAACTTCTAAAATTAATACTCTGGTTTCTCTTCAGATCATATAAATCTTTTGCCTTTTACTAAAATTATACCATTCAAATGAAGCCTAACTGAAATCAAATCTCACTGTCACAATATCAAAAAAAATTCCAATTTACTTATTGTTTCTATTAATATAAACTAAGTACATTCTATTCATAGCCCATTAAAAACTGGTCCATTTTAAATAAGTTTTTCTCATTTAAAGTTTGACAGAGAAAGTTAAAAACTGCTGATTTTGTTTTTATTTATTTGACTAAAAGTTGATCTGATTGCAATATAAACAGTTCTCAATAAAACTTGAAAGGCTGGACATGTAGCTCAGCGGTAAAGTATATTGTATCTGTGAGACCCTGGGTTTAATCCACAGTAATGGAAAAACAAAACTCTGGAGAGTTAACATGTTTGGCTAACTTAACTGCCAGGGTGGTTCCTGGGACAAAGAAACGGTTAAGACATAATTTCTGGGCCTTACAGAGCATGGTGAATTTGTGCTCATAGGTGCCAGTGTCACAAAGCATACAGTTATAGGAGATGGGTGTCATGTTGGCACAAAGGGACAAGAGGTGAAACTGGTAGCATGGCTGAGAAATGAACAAGGGAATTAGAAGATTCTAAAAGAAGAGAAGTTTGGAGCTAGTAATTTAACTTTAAAGTTACTTAGTACAATTGGGAAATAAAACCACTTATTTCATTTAATTTTCATTTATTTAAAGAATTGAATACCAGGTATTATACTAGAAGCTGGCCAATGCAGAAATGAACAACATAAAGTCCCCCATCCTTAAAGAATGTGTATTATGCTTATAAAGGCATGTGAATTTTAAGTGGTAGTCTTATCTTCCCTGCCCTTAAGAAGGTAGAGGCAGAGACCGATGTCTGGAGTTGTTCAGATGCAATGATCAGGGTGGGCCTCCTAAGAAGGTGCCACCTCAACAATCTTCTCTTGTGTTGTTTGGTAAGGGCACTTAAGTCCCATTCTATCTTTTTTCTATTGTAAAAGTCAAGGACAGCAATCTCTTCACTATAACGCTCCTGAAATCTAGATGAAAAACATCAGAAGACATATGTAAAAACCAAGATGATAAAAGTAGCCCAATGTATAATATAGAAGTAAATATCTGTCTTGTTCTTCAAGATATCCTGATACCTCAAGACTTCATACAATTTTTTGTTTGTTTGGCACAGAGCCTTGTGTAGCACAGGCTATGAATTTATTAATCTTGATCCTCCTGTCTCCAGCCCTCCAGTACTGAGATTACACATAAGAACTGCTTCACCTAGATTCCAAAAGGGGTCTCAAATGTTTGTTCAAAAGTCAAAATAATCTCTGAAAGGATCATCTTATTAAAACAGAATTCCTTTGGAAAATTCCTGGTATGTATGAGCTCGTTCCCAGAGTCACTAGATAACTAAAACTTAAGGGGAAAAAAAAGAGAGACAGATAACAAAAGTGTTTTGTTTTGTTTTTTTTTTGGTTTTTCGAGACAGGGTTTCTCTGTAGCTTTGGAGGCTGTCCTGGAACTCACTTTGTAGACCAGGCTGGCCTCGAACTCACAGAGATCCGCCTGCCTCTGCCTCCCGAGTGCTGGGATTAAAGGCGTGCGCACCAACGCCCGGCTTAACAAAAGAGATTTTTGATAAAGCCTAATACAGCTAATACTGACCTGGAACTCTGATTCTTGTGGTTCAAAAGTTTTATCACATTTAATGAATATGGTTGTCTACCAACCTTGACCAAACACGGGTACATGCCATGCCTGGAGCAAATCCTCATTAGACTAGCCAAGACACTAAGCTAAGGATAAGACCCTATCCTCCCAGGAACACCAAAGCTAATCTAAGTTATCTGATCAAAGAGACATTAAGGTTGAAGCATCCAAAGGTACACAGAGTTCTAAAAATAAGGTGTGTGAGCTGCTTGTGGCCAAAGCAGCACCAGTACCAGAACCCTGATGAGGAATACTTATCTAAATTCTAGATCTGGATTGTTCAGTATGGTAGTCATTGGTCACATGCTGTTACAAGGGCCTGAAATGTGGCTGAGATGTCCTGCAGTTGTAAATACACACTAGATTTACAATATTTAATATACAAATAACCTTAATATTTTTGTAATTACAAATGAGAATAACAATTATCTTAGATATATTGGGTTAAATATTAAACTTGTTTCTTTAAATGCGGCTATGAGACACTCTAATTTTTACTATTTTGTGCAGATGGAAGTTTTGTCTGCATGTATGTCTGTGCACATGTGTGCAGTGCTCTCAGAGGCCAGCGAAGGCCTCAGATCCCCTGGATCCCCTGGAAGAGCAGTCAGTGATCTTAAGCACTAAGCGACCTCTTCAGTCCTGTGCTAATACTAGATGATTTTAATTATACATGTGGGCTACTTTTTGGGGGGTAGTTAGGGGCTAAATCCAGAGCCTTGCTCATGGCAAGCAGGTGTTCCGTCACTATGTCTCCAGCCTTGTTTAAAATTTTAGTTTGAGACTGAGTCTCAGTAGCTCACAGTGGTTCAGGCACCATATGAAACTGTCCTCACCTGCCTCAGCCACTGAGGAGCTGGGATTACAGTCAGGAACCACCAAACCTATTGTGGATCAGTTATTTCTACTGAAGACTATGGCTCTAAATGGGCAGAAACTCCCTATTTTCTATAGGGACACTTGAGAATACTGTGGATCTTTTCTATGAATGGCAGCACTAACACCTACATGCAGGCTTTATGACATAAACTGGAACACTTCTAGAGGTTAAGGCTCAAAACTAACCTTAAAAATAATTAAAATTTTAAAATAAGTTTTAAAAGAATAATTTAAGATGTAGAACAACACACCAGTTTTACCCTAGTATTCCTCAATGCTCAAATGGCTTGATGGTGGCTGGATGGCTGTAATCATCGTCAGTACATGAAAGGAATTACATATTAGCCATCATCCTAAGTATGTATGTGTTTTCCGACTTCTATGTATAAATGTGTGTATCCAAATTGACAAGCAATTCAATACATCAATTCAGTGGTTTTCAACCTTCCTAATGCTGCAACCCTTTAATATGCAGTTCCTCATGTTGTAGTGGCCCCCAACCATAAAATTATTTCATTGGTACTTTATAACTAATTCTGGAGAGAGAAGTTTGCCGAGGGAGTTGCAACCCACAGGTTGAGAATCACTGAATTAGATACATTAATACAATCTAATAATTTGATTTTCACTACAACCCTATAAATTGGGTAGCAGTATTTGACCTCATACATGGAGAAATCGAACAGAGGACAAACTGTCCAACATCATGACAGTAAATGATGAAAGTGAGGGCTTGAACTCAAGAGTCTATTTCATAGCTAATGTATATCTGTATGATATAGCTCTTGCTGTTAACTCTTTCCTACTGGTCTATAAAATACAGAATGAGACTACCTTATTCATTAATTTGGGAGTTGTATGTCAGTTGACTTGTAGAATCAGATCTCCTTTAGTATATTACATAAATAAAATGCCCTTTTCAAATAGCTTATTTGTTCTTTTCTTTACAAAAACAAAGCTCCAGGAAATATACCTGCCTTCTGGCTTTTATAAGGTGCTAAGTAAGTACTGTGTTTATATTACACAAATGAAAGCTTGAGGAAATCCAGGCACAAAGTTCAATGACAATGGAAAAACATGAAATGGTGATACGGTTTCTAACATTTAACAACTTCTCATCACTTGGAAGCTGTCTGTGAGCCTCAGTTTAGGAGCTGAAATCCAGACTGGCAACAGAGCACACTTGAAGGTACCTTATAGAAATGTTCAACTGTTCTCCTGGCTAACTTAACTGCCTCTGAATGTTAGAAAGGTTCCAGTCTCTGGAAAGACTACGCATGGAGAGCACCAAGCCTTCCTCATCACCAGCCACTAAGCTAGCTGAGTCCTAGCAGATGCCAAGCTCTGGGCTCAGATCTTTGTATGGACTACATTTCAGACTCTGGCCATGCTCCTCAACAAATGAGAAATGTACTAATGATCCTGAGAAGACTGCCCATAGCATCCTAGCCATGCAGCAGAACTGGCATCCAAATTTCCCGTTTTAACACCTAAAGCACAGTGCAATGCATCTTAGGTTAGAGAGTACTTAGTCCCTGACCTCAATAAGACACCTTATTGTTGCTGCAGAGTGGTGGATAAACCCGGGACCTTAAGCATGCTAGGCAAGGACTCTATGCTACCCCTCCCCCACTTTGTATCTTTAATTTATTATTAGTACACCATAAACACCATTAGTGAAAACATTACTAACTGAATTCTTTACTCCTATCATTCTTTAGGTTTGAACAAGGTCAAGTATACAAATTAACAGGGAATGGCTATCATGCTGTCTAATACTGCTTTTCTAAATTGAGGTGGGCAGCTCACAGTGGGCCAGTTTTAAAGAGGGGATCTGCAGGCTCCCTTTTGAATTAATTCAACTGCCCTAAGACCCTAAC